GCATAAAGGTCACAACCTTTGACCTTCATCCCTACATAGAAACACATAGAAACCAGTCCACAGGCAGCAGAGGAACAAAGCTGTACGATCATTAAAAGCCGTGCAGACTCTGAGTGAACGTCCGAGGTTTCAGGTCAGACTTATTCGGACTTAAAAGAGGCCGACGTGTAAAACTGTCAGGACATAACGAGGTGAGCGGTTCTCTCTCCTGATCCCTGCTGAGATCACTCACACTCCCTCCCCTCTCTTATCAGGACCTGGCTCTGCTCCCGGACAAAAACCAGCATGACTTCATCCTCGAGTTATAAACAGTGTCGACCCCCTCACATCATCATCATCATCATATTCAGCCCGTGCAAGGTGTGTCATACATACATATATTACATTATGTATGTATGACACATGTTTACATTATATCAATATTAATGTATAATATCTATGTGCATACATGTATATCTGTTCCGTCATCATATTATATATACATATTATTATGCTATTTGCTAACATTGCCTAACTTAAGATGTGACTATATATATGTCTCTTTTATCTTTTAACCATCTTCAAAATGTGGTTGTTTTTTCAACATAGGTTAGCTTAGCATGTAGCATATCTAACTCCAGGAAAGTAGGAAGTTGACCGAGGCTTGCTCAACTGTGATTGGATCACAGCGCAAAAGGGGGCGGGGATTATGAAGGGCCAATTGTTACATTGTTACTGCAAAATCTTATCGTCGCACCTTACATTACAGCTTCGTACTAACATGGTAATAGTGAGGTAATATTAATGTGTTATTAACAAAGTAATAGCTTAGCATTAACAGCAGATATATTTGGGTAACAGGGTAATAAGGGGCAAAAAACCAAGAGTGAAATTTGTTTTTGTTTTTAATCTAAATTATCCAATCATTTGTTTTTTTGCCCCTAATGCTATTATTACCAAGAAATACTTGTTGTTAATACCAAGTTATTATCTGGTTATTACTTTGGTAATTACATGTTAATATCTTATTAATACCTGCTCACCAAACTAATTTTTGCAGCGCTGGTTCATGTAAATCTGCCGCAAAATAGAATCTAAACTGATCAATTGATCGAATGACTGTTGATTACGTTCATATTGATGCTATCAGCTCCAGACACACCTCGAGGGACAAACATCAATCGATCGACAGCAGCTGATCAATCTATATTTGTACGTTTGTACTTCAGCACAAGAAAACAAACTCTCAGCGACAGAAATTTCTGTTTTTCTGAACTCAATTTCAATAAAAATTAATTTCTTAATGATAAAAAACTTTCCTGCAAAAACACCAAAAAGACACAAAACCTGAAACCAGATCAGTTCCTTCAGGTTTCCAGCATCAATCTACACACAGATATCACAGATATAGAGAAACTGTAGACGTACTTACAGTTTCTCTGTTAAAATGTCTGATTCACGCCACCGTTAGAGACCGACTGAAGTCTGTCAGTCACACACAACAGTTTCTCAACGTGTTTGATTTCCTGTTGTTTGCTCTGAGTGTGAGTTCCTGTACTTCTGTTTTTATGAGAACCAGTTTGAATTTTAGATATCTCTTGAAGGACATTTGCTGTTTGAGGGTTTAATGATTACAGTGAGATTGAGGGTTGGAGGTTAGAGGTTAATGGATAACAACTGAGGGTCCTTACATGCACAGATCTGTATATATACATTTATATATATGTGTGTGTGTGTGTGTGTGACAGTGTGTGAAACAGACATGACAGGATGTGGTTTTGGTGCAATTCATTCTGTTTGCAGTGTGAATGAATCCTCCACATCCTTTGACCCAGACAGACATCTTCAGTCCAGATAAAAAAGGGTCTCTTTCTATTTAAACTCGGACTAAAACTGCATTCAGATTCATAAACGTTGAACCTGTAAGATTCTGCAATCAAATATGTGCAAGTAAGAGTGTAAAGATTTACTAATACGACTCAGAAATCAGGTTTTAGTGTTATAGATGAGACCATGTCAGTACACGGACCCCTGGATGGATCTAAATGTACCACAAACCGATCGATTGTCCGATTCTAAAGTTATGAATCTGCTGACTGAAGCTTTTGTAAAGGTGAATATGTCCGATTGGGATGAGTGTTAGCTTTGTTCTGGCACCATGTGAGACCCAGTTATGAGTCTTCGTCTCAGTCAGTTTGAACCTAAAAATTGTTGAAACTGATGAAAGCAACGTTTAAGTGAAACCAACTAAATTTTGTAAGTTAAAAAAACATTATTGACTACACTGTAAAACCAGTTAATTTAACTCAATTGTTGAAACTGATTACAACAAAATTTATAAGTAACAAAAAAACACACACAAAGATTTTTAGGTTAAACAAAATTCTTGATTAAGTCGCTTTTACTAGTAATTTTAAGTGGAACTAACATTTGTTTTGTAAATTTAAGAAACATTCCTTATTAACAACTTTTTACTAGGTATTTTGTTTTCACAATACAACTAAAAATGACAAAATTAAGTCATTCTCACTTAAAATTAAGTTAGAGAGTTAGTTTTACTTTAAGATGTTGATTATTATTATTTGACTTAAATTATGTCATCTGGTTTTACAGTGAACTATTATAGGTTTTAATTAGACCATAAGTCAGAGCTTCATTAGAATATTAAACCCCTGGGTGTGAAATCATCTCCTGGTTCCTCAAAAACACAACTTTGCCTGAAGTTGGCGAGCTGTGAATGCTTTTTTAAGGTGGAATTCCCCTTTAAGTACATGCTGTGAAACTATAAGGTGGAGTGGATTCCAATGTGTGTGATTACAGTAATAAGAGAGCAGCTCCTCGCTGTCATTATGTGTTCAACAGTGACGCAACATGTCAGAGCTTCTTAGAAAAGAACAAATCACAGCCTGTTTGAGGCTCTTTACGACACATACTGAGAAAACTCCTGCAGGTCTACAAAATACAGGAATTTTATTCATTTAGTTCCAAAGGGGGGTTGAGTTAAACAGTTTGAGAATCACTATAGTGACCAATTTAAAATAAAACAGATTTAGTTTTAGGGCCTCTCGGAAGAACTTATACTTTAAATTGTTTAAATAATTAAACAAACTATAACACATCCTACATATTCCACAGGGTACATGTTGACTAACCAATTGCCTAACTTAACTACTTACCCTTTGTTGTGTTTTTAGGTTGGATGTCTGTGTTTACTGTTATGTAACAGAGACATTTCCCGATGTGGAGCTAAAGGTTTGTGTTCCTGTCAGAGTTTTACAACACTGGAACATGAAAATGAGCAGGCGGCGTCGTGTTTGAAGATTCACGACGTGTTCGAGGAGAGTAGAAGAAGAACATCCAGACTTAAAGACCAAAGAAATTACGTCCCTCAAGGAACGATCCTGGGTCTCCTAAAGTTCTGATCAGGTTCAAACTGACTGAGACAAAGGATCATAACTGGGTCTCATGTGGTGCCAGAACACAGCCGACACTCACCCAGGTAACCCGGTCTGACATATTCAATTTGAAGAGAAACTTAATTTACCCAGAATGCACAGCAAGGTAGCAGGAGTTCAGACAGTTTTATCAGATGCCACAACACTGCACGGAGGTTTTTAAACTCTGAGAAAGCAGCTGGTGTTCATGTTACATTAATGAATCCAACACTGAAGTACTAAAACCTACAGTTCCTCTAACGTCCACTAGAGGCTGGCTCCAGCAATGAGTCAATCTCCATAAGGCCCCATTTTCAAAGAATTTAGTTTTTAAAAGTTTAAAATAAATCAGTGTCACTTAATATGACTAAAGCTATTTGATCAAGAATGTTTTTTAACTTACAAAATTGAGTTGAGCAATTTAATTCCAACAATTTTTTGAGTTAAATTAACTTATCTGGTTTTACAGTGAAAACAGGATTGTATTCAGATTCAGAATCAGAGAATAATTATTAATTATGACAAACACTCAGTTGGAGGACTACGTTTGGAGAACCAGTTCCATCTCTGTGAACATAAACCTGTGAGTCCGACAGCTTTCGGAGGATTTTAAGTCTTTTAAAGTGTTTTGGGTCGACAGTACAAAGATGACCCGTTCGGATTTGAACCAAAACACCGTCTTTAATCTAATGATTTAATTTCATCTTAACTCAAATAATTGAATTTCCCAAAATGTCATAGTTTCCCTTCAAGATACAACTGAACTCAATCAACTTAAATTAAACACGGAAATAAAACCCAGGAGAAGGGTGTGTGTGTGTGTGTGAGACACTGAAGGAGACAGGAAGTGAGTCTTCTCAAATCAGTGTTTACATTACAGACAACTGATGTTACGGCCCGCCCACCACGACCTCTGACCCCTTCACATGCACACTCACACAGTTTCCTTGTGTTTACATTCACTCCTGCAGTCAGCAGTGAACTCCCTTAAACTATCTGCTAATTTTACATCCCTGTTCCTGCTGGTGGTTCACTTGGACGATGTGTTAAACATTTCCAACAAGATGTGAAAATACTCTCTGATGCCGCCGACCTCCCTGCTCTCAGAGTCAGAGTCCTGGTTAGAGCCTCTGTAAATCACCTTGTAACTGTATGATCAAACTAGTTGAAATAAACTCTTAATTCATCGCAGTGAGATTTGAAAATGTGAACTGCAGACCATTAAATTAGCCAACAATCGCAGATATACTCGCATTATATTATTGATTTCCATATCAGGGTTGCCACGGGTCTGGAAGGAGCTTGAATTAAGCTGATGATACTGTTTTTATACATCACCTCTGGGCTCAGCTTTCTTCTATAAGTTCCACATTATTTGGCATAAATTATAGATACGGTTGGAAAAGCTGTTTTCATCTGAGTTAACATATAATATCCAAAATGTTGATTTTCTTTGTGTAGTGGTGACAAAAAGAAATAGTCACATTGTCCATGTAGGTGATTATTAATGCTAATTATGCTAATTGTCCAACATATGCAAGTTAGTATCTGTCAGTTTTTAAATGCCCAAACTGTGTATTTCTGACAGAAAACTGAACATTTCTGGGTTTACAGTGAAGCTCTACTGCTCTAGTGGTAACTGTTGATATGAACCTTCAATGGCAAAACTTTTATACTTTTATAAAATTACATTTTTCTTACATCAAAACCAAACATGTCTGAATTTGTAATCAAACAGCCACCAGATTTCACACACGGATTCCTTAAAGAAATAGCCGGTAATAGTCGGAAGATTTATTTATCATCTGTTTTAATTTTATATGAAGACATGTTTTGTGTTTTTTCAGCACATTTGACATGTTCTCTAACTTTAAAATACTTTAAAAACAATATTTGGAGCATTTACCAGCACAATAAAGTGAGAACTTTATTTGTTGGGCCTAACAATGGTAAATTAGAGCTTAGTTAACGAGATATCGCCTAATATTTTCATACTTTAATGATTAAAAAGTACAAAAAAGCTATTTTATTTGGGCCAAAACCTGCTCTGTTCATACAATAGATGGATAAAGTAAAGACCAGCAGCTCAGTGCTGAAGTCTGAAGGTTCGTTATCAGGGTAATAACAGCAGGGACCGGCCAACCACATCCAATAATTGTCTGCTCTGATCTCGTCCCTCCTTTCTCACTGTTTTCTCCTTCTTCCTGGTGCACTCCTCCCTTCCTCCTCATCACACGTGACACCTCCTCCTCTTCCTCCTCCTGGCCATGTTTCTGCAGCCTTATCTTGGGCGTTCTCTCTATTTTCTGCTTCGTTCCTTTTCTATGGTTATAATCAACAGATCTGCTGTGGCATTTTATTGTGTGTGTGTGTTGTGTGTGTGTGTGTGTGTAAGCGGCAGAAACATTGTTCAGTCCTAAACTTTATCGCCACAAACCATACAACTTCCTGCACACAGAGTGTATTGGTGTGTGTGTGTGTGTGTGTGTGTGTATGATAATTGCAGTGTGTTCTGGTATGTTTCTGTGTGTGTGTGAATGCTAACTATGGAAGCCAATATAACAGCAGAGCAACTAAATGTGTAATTACACATCATTACTGCTCTGTGTGTGTGTGTGTGTGTGTGTGTGTGATAGCAGTCCACTCTGCTCTGGTTTGGTGACAGGAAGTCACAGCTCGGAGGGAGAAAGTTGAGCCGAGACTCAAAAACACTTTTAGAAAATAAATCCAAGTCGGCTCTCTTCACGGGAAGAAATCTGAGCAAACAACTTTCCAACTCAGCGGTTCCCAACCTGAGGGTCGGGACCCTCACTAGGGGGACGCCAAAGCATGCAAGGGGTCACGAGGGCTTCTTGATTTTAAGATGTGCTAGAAAACTTAATAAATATACACAGTTGGTCGATATCTCAACATTTTATTAATTTCTGTGAAGAAAACTAAATTAAACTTTTATTTTTAAGTTAATTTAATTAAACAAATTGTTTAAATTGATTACATCAAAAATTTAAAGTAAAACAAACTCCATTTTGTAAGTTAAAAAAAAATCTTAAACGAGTAGCTTCAGTGATCTTAAATGATTTAATTTTGACATTTTTTATTTGTATTGTAAAAAAAAATTGTAAAAAGTACTAGAATGTTTTTTATCTTATAAAACTGAGTTTATGTAACTTATAATTTACTTTGTGATTTGTTTCAAGTTTTATGAGTTAAAATAACTAATTACATTACAGTGTGAAGAAACAAAATTAATTTAAAATACAACAAAATAACTCACAAAAATACAGTAATTTTCTGTTATTAAAATACAGTTTTTATCTTTGATTTGACATAAAATCTTTTGTAATCTTTTGTCTTTTTAATGTTAGATATTTACACTGTTAAAACAATGCAATGATCTATAAATAGAGGTGAACTCAGCTATAATACAAATAATTAGACTTACATTCACAGCAGAGTGCTGTTATTATTGGATTGTTATTATTTTAATGTGAATGTTAAAAGTTATAGAAGTGTAATAAAAGTCATTATCTGTGAAATTACAGTA